TAATGCCTCCCCAACAGGGACTGACGCGGCCTTTTCTCACATCAGTGGAACAAAATATGCTTCAGCCATTTTGTCCAATAAAGCAGGGCCGGGCAATTGCTTAGGAATTACCTGAAGCCAGTTCCCCTAAAGACCCAGGCACCTGCTGCCACCCATGGCAGAGCACCAGCTTCCCCCAGGAGCCTTGCCACCCCTAGCACTCACTTTACAGCACTTTTGCTACACACTTGGTTCCTTCCCAGAGCCAACCTTGACCTTAGCACAGCTAAGAAACTCGTTATTCTATGGGATGCACTGTCAGTCTATTATGTGATAGCAATGTGTGGCACGACCAAAGCCACTTTGGTGCTCACAGCTTCACTCACCTCGCAGCCCTGCTCCTGCTGGGAAGCCTGGCCTCACCATTCTCAGCTGGAGCCATCTGATGCATTGGCCAGGGTCACATCCCAGCTCTCTCACCTCATTATGTGCATCCTGACATAGACACAGGACTTTAGTTTCAGTGAATGGTTTGCCAAACAGCAAAAGAATGAAGTCAGAGTCTTTGAGACCATCCCCTCTTGCATATCAGTTTGCAAAGCTGTAAAAGTCAATAACTGTACATAGATCCTCAGTTAAATAAAAAAAATAAAAATGCAAGCACCCAGGAAATTTGCTTGCCACACAAAAACTCCCTTCGATAGCAGAATGTTCTCGCTGAGCCAACCTAAGCATAACTTATCATAGAAAATTATCTTGTGTGCTGAACTAAAATTTCCCCGTCAGAACTTTAACCTTTGCCACTGGCAGCTGGCACACCCCCCCCCCTCCAAGGAGCTCTCCCCCATGGGTATCCTTTGAACTCTTAAGAGTACATGTGGTGGATCTCAGCAATTATTTGTGCTGCGGGCAAACTTCAGGCAGAGGTGCCAGCAGGAGCTGCTGGCCGCACGCCAAAGGACACCACAGCCCTTCCTACCGCAGCCTGCACCGTGGCCTTTGGGACACAGCCCGTCTGTCCGTGTTGCTTGGCTCCGGGGCCTTCTCTGCCGCTGAGCAGAGGGATTTGCTGGGCGTTAAGCGCCGACTCTGCATAGCCAGCAGGCTTTCTAAATGCGGCGATTTTGGCTGCCTCCCACGGAGGATAAGTCAGCCTCGGCGTGACTTACAGACCTCGGCAGGGTCAGGTGTAATCTTGGTGTTAATGACTTAGGCATGACACCCAAAGCGGCTGGTCTGGGAATACTCTTCCCCTCGTCTGGACATCTCACAATCGCTTTGACCAAGACAAGTCAGCCGTGAGTGGTTTTGGTTCTTCCCCGCTGTGCTTTGGTCCAGGAAATTCTCACTTCTGTGTGGGTATCCTCTTCACCTCTGAATGTGGCTGAAGATGTCCCCTCCTGGGACAGCTGTTTTGTCAGAGCTGCAACCTCCTTCTCCAAAATTTCAGGGTGGTTGCTCCCAAATCCAAGAGGGGATTCCCACTATCTGGAAACTGTCTTTAAACTCCAACCAGCACAGCTGTATTCTTGTTTCCGTCCCTCAGTTCCCATACACTGTCTTCTCTGTCTAGAACACACTTGTGCAAGTGCTACCTATAAATTGAACAGGAAAAAAAAAAAAGTCAGAAATTGCAACGGGCTGTTGAGGGAAGGAGACTGAAAGGATGAAGTACTCAGGTTTTTTTGCAGGCAGCGTTGCCCAGGAAGCCCCGAGGCTGCTCACTCGGCCCTGTCCTCTAACTGTTGCACAGAAGTTTGCGGTTTCCCTGGGTCTGTCACGGAGTGCTGACCCTGTGACATCCTGCCTTTTCGGGGCATTAGAGACCATGTTCAGATGGTTCGGACCGGGTGGCAGCGCCTGCATCAGAGCCTCTCAGCGACTGCTGAGGCAGCGGGCTCCCCGTAAGCCCAACAGTACGAAGCGATGGCATAAAGTAATGTCACGGATCCGCTTTCAGCATTTTCCTTTTTCCCCAGAAAAGGGAAAAAAAACCCCACCAAAAAACAGGGACGGTTTGGGATTGGCAAGGGGAGCTGATGCCTCTCACGTCTCCTCACCTGCTCCCACCGCAGATCCGCGGGCAGAGGGGTCCCAGACCCCTCTGCCCACCTCCGCCCCCGCGGTTGCTCCGGGAGGGCGGAGGCGGAGCGGCGGCGGCTCCAATGGGGAGGAGCGGGGCGGGCCGAGCCAAGCCGTGCGGTGCTGTGCCGTGCTGGTCGCCGGAGTCTGGCGGGCGCTGCAGGTGGGAGCCCGGCTCCGCGACGGCGCGTAACTTCGGCGAGCTGGGGCTGTCCGCGCCAGCCTTCTCCGCGGAGAGCGGGAGGAGCCGCAGCGGCGGCGGAGAGCACCAACCGGGGCGTGCTTAGGTGAGGAGCTGCTGGCCCCGCTCCCCTCGCTTCCTCTGGTCGCTCTTGCTGCCGCCTGGCCCGGCGCGGTTCAGCGGGGCCCGCAGGTCGCGATGCGCTGCGGGATCGCAGAGCTGTCCTTGGCTTGAGGTCAGCGGGGAGGGCCGAGGGGCGTGCGCTGCCCCCGCGGGGTGCGCTGCTGCCGCACATCGCTGCGCGGGGAGGAAGGGCTGGGGGCGGCGGGGCTGCGGCGCGGGGGCGCCTTCTCGTCTGCTTCCAATCTCCTCTCTGCGTTTTTGCTTTTGGCCGTGTGGGCTGTTCCATGCCCCCGCTCGTCCCCGCCGTGGGTCGCTTCGGGGGTCCTCGGCCACGGCTCGCCCCTGCCCCGGCGGCGGGGCGGACTTGCCGCCCGCGGCGCGGGATGCGCGGGGCCGGGCGGTGCGGTGCGGGAGTGCCGCAGGCGGGCTACAGCTCTTGCAGGAGCCTGTCACTCAGCTGCCCTTCCCGCCTTTCTGCCCCCCGCGGAAATTCCGCCTGGGCGCTGGGACGCGGCGGCGTCTGCAAAGTTACGGGCGGTGCGCGGCGGGGGCGGGGTGCGGGGGCGCGCAGTGGCCGCGCTGCGCCGCGCAAGCTGGAGCGCGGCCGGGGGAGCATCCGCTGGTAAGCCTAGCCCGTGCTGATGGGCGCTGAAGCCAATTTTTGGGAAGGTTTAACGTAGGCTTGGGGCCAGTCCTGAGGAAGCCGCAAGGTTTTGCGGGCGGGCGGCAGGGTCAGTGCGGCTTTAGCATTAAAAATGTTTAATAGTGGATATTTATGAGGTGTTCTTCCCCCCCCCCCATTTCTCTGCCTTTTCGGACGTTTAAAAAAAACCCCGAACTAGTCAGCTGGCGATATTTACATTTCTGTAGCAACAGCAGCTCATTAGAAAAGTGATACTAGCAGGAAAATTAAAAGTAGTAGAGTAATAGAGACGCGGAGGTGGTTGCGGATAGCGCCGAGGGACCCGTAGTCCCCCGCTCCTCGGCAGCGGGCAGTGGCGTGAGGGGGCCAGGGGTGTTTGGGAGCCTGTGAGAATGCGGGGGGCTGGGAGCGCAGGGTGCAATGCAGAACTGGAAGCGCCGAAACTCTGCATTTTGTGCATAGTTCAATGCTGGGTGGCCATTTTTCTAATTTTTTCCGGACAGGCTGTTAGACCCACAAGATGCTCATTTGGGACTTGAAAAAACACCCCCCCACACTCCACTATCCCTTTGCTAGGGCTGTTCCGATGCTAAACGCTTGCATTTTTGTATTACAAATGGGTGATCCTTCGTCAAGCTTTAAACCTCATTAAGATGTAGCTAACCATTTGTGAGGAGGATTTTTTTCCCCGTCTCTCTGGAGTTTGCTTGCTTGTTTCTCTCTTCTTTCCAGGGAAGGATTTAGTCCCTGGTGTGATGGCTGAAATGGTGGCACGCAATTCAGTGTGCTGCCAGATGCTTACCTTCTTTCAGAGTTTGGGATAGGCTCAGGCAGTATTAAAAGCTTGCTAAGAGGATACTGTTATATAGTTTCCTCCATTTTTGAGTTCTGTTAGAAGCAGTCTAAAAATACTGGATCATCATTTCCCTCATGTGTAACTGCAGGACTTTCCAAGAAACATTCTTAGATATGTGCCTTTTTTTTTTCTCCTTTTAACCTTGCAAATTATTACTTTTGGTGCCTAATAGGGAACTGCTGTGGTATCCTTGTTCTTGTAACTTGGAGGCATCACTATTGATTCTGAATCAAACAGTTTTTAATATCAAATTCTTCTTATGACACAGGGTTGAGTATTTTAACTTGCTGAAGAGATTACCCCCAATGTTCCTAGAAGCATCCAATTGTTGCCAAGCGCCATAAACATTTGCAATTAGTGCAAATCTGTCAAGAAAATGGCCCTTTCTTTGGCTTTTTTTTTTAATTGGGAAACAGATTATCAGTATCTCAGTACTATTCCTGTCCTTCCTGCAGCACCGTTTATTTCAGCATATGACATTTATTTCAGAGGTAAATGTTATAGAAGTCCCTTGCTCAAATATTGGTTGCACATTACTGCCCAGAACTAGCTTAGGAAGGCACTTTACTATCTCACACAACCTTATCTGCCATTCCACAACTTCATAACAAACCCACTGGAACATGAAATGACCTTGGAAAGGTATCTTTCAATCTGACACGAAGCATTCTCTTACGGGTAACAGCATTGCTCCACACAGAGCCGATGTTTTCAAATTGATGCTTCTAAACTGATTTTTTATTTATTTTTTTTTAAGAGGGGAGAGAAATGGGTGGAATATTGAATTTGAAAAGAAAATATTTTTTTAAAAACAAACCCACTCAGCTGAAGTTTGAAGCACCACTCAGCTGAAGAAGGAGGTGTATTAAGAATGTACATATGATAGTGACACTTAAGTCATGGGTGAAAACAAGACTTTAATTTTAATCAAAGGAAAACAGCATTTCCTCTGCCAGTTCTGATTTGCTCATTCATGAGATCTTCAAAAGCCCAAATTATTAGTGGGACTAATTGAAAGCAAGTTGGGTGTGTTAAATGGAGAAAAGAAGTGATGAAGTCTGAAGGAAGCTTTACATTTAATTGTATTGTTCTTGACATCATAATGTGATGCTTCTACATTAAAAATGTTCCATGACCCTCCAGTCCACAAAATACTGCTCCTTTGGAAAGGTTGCAAGAGCTCTTGAGAATTAGCAGCAGTGAAGGGGGAGTTTTACAGCTGTTGAGGGAATTAATGGAGGGGATGCCTGGCCAGTAAGCTAAATGGGATTTTGGCCCAGATGCTGGACTTGACACATCAGGTATTGCAAAAGAGTGATGAATGCTTTCCTGCCCGTGGTGTCTTTACCTCCCATAACGGTGGTGCCTCCTGTTGAGCAGTGCCTGCTCCCAGTCTCCCACCACACTCCAGCCTCAGGAGCTCAGGTTATGAGTGCCACCTGCTGGGTGATGAGCCTCTTTATATTAATTATAGTTAATTTATATATATGTATGTATGCATTTGTATGTGTTTACATACATATACTCTGTTTATGTGTATATTTATTTACATACAGGTGTATGGCTTTTTCATAGATGTTCTTGGATGAACCTACGAAATGTTGCTAAGACCGGAAGTTCCTCACCCTCTGAGGGCTTACCACAGCTTGTGTTCGGTGACACTCAGATATCCCTGAAATATAAAGCCCAAGTGCTAAAGGGGAGATTTTGGTACTGTTGTTGATTAATGTTCCCTTTGCTTTACTGAAGGCAACCGGGAATTTTCAGCTGTATAGCTCATTGCTTGTGATATGGTAAGCTTTCACAGGTGCTTCAATGGTCAGATAGCAGGCTGTGGAGGTAGGGCTGTAGACCTGAAATGGAGGCTGAACAAACCAAACTCATCTTTACGTTATGCATTGCTTAAATGGAAAATCTTCACAGCTTATTTCATAATTTTTCATATTAACTACCATATTTCCAAAAGTTTTATGAGCATCCCATCTTGATACAAAATATCCCTTCTCATTTAGATTAACTGAAGATGCTCAGAATTTGCAGAATGTTCCTGGACAGTTTTTTCCATTTTAAAGAGCACATTTTTTGTATTCACTTTTTTAACGTTTGCATAGAAGAGTAAAAATATAAAAGTTTGATTCTCACCTAGAATTGCTACTGGAGGTGGCATAAAATCTGACATCATTCCCAACAATGTCTTTCCAATTTCCAGTAGTTTGCATCTCTCCTAGACCACTGGAGCGTTGGCTGGAATGCTGTTTAAATACCAGTTTGATTCAGCTGGATCCAGAGTGAAATCAGTTGCAGCACCGAGGCTTGTAGTTGTTCTGTGTTGTACTGACAGTATTAGGGAAGGATGCGTAGCTGTGGGTTTTGGGGTTTTGTTGGACAGCTAACCTCATTACTGCTTTACTGCTTATTTATTTCATGGTGTGCTGGTGCCAGATGAGTCTTTTACCCTGTCTGTGGATTAGGAGTAGGTCCAAGCTGAACTATAAAAGTTTTGAGGAAACTTTCAGGTGCTTTCAGCTGGAAAACCTATATTGATGTACTTTTGTGATAAATGGATAAAACGCTTTGCGTGGTTTTGAAAGCGTATTCCACCGCTTGAGATCTGGACTCTGGAGAGTGCATAACAGTCAGGAATGAGTTGATGGAGCAAAAAGCAAGTAGTGTAATTGTGGAGTTCGTCTTAAAGTGTGATTCTAGCAAAAGAAAAAAAGGTACCTGCCATATCAAGAGAGATTGCAGATAGGCTTTTGAGGAGGGGGACCCAGTAATAATACGTAACTCAAGTTCACTGTCCCTTAAAACGTTCACAGTTAATTTGATGCTTGACAAATTGTGATTTCAGTGTCTGGTGAAGAAGCAATTGACCCTAAAATTGCTGCCTGAAGCTGAACCAATGTTTTCAGTTTCATAACAAGTGTCATGCAAAAATAGAATGTGAAGAGGAACAGGGGGAACGCAAAATGCCTCTGTGGTCTTGCTCTTATGTATCTCTTTGCACCCTGACCCAAGCAGCTGGTGGGTAGTGTAGGCAGTGGATGCTGCTGCAATGCTCAAGGCAATTTAAATCTCATCTGTTTGTCCATCCCATCATAGCATATCATGACTTTTTTTTTTCCCCTGACAAACCTTCTGAGCTGATAATGTGTCAAATTTCAACAATCACACCTTCTCCTCGCTGAGAAATGTATATGCAGTATTGTCAATGGAAATGCTTCTCTCCTGTCTCCTCCCCATTCTAAATAAACTAGTTCAGCAGCTCTTCTGCTCAAATTCTGCCAGCTCTGAGTCATCCATACATTTTTTATTTGTTCCTTTCTCATCTTTTGGCACACCATGTTTCCCGCCATTCCCCCCTACTCAGCATCTGCTTTCCTATGACCCCTTCCTGATAAATTTGTTAATATTAAGCTTGCTTCATGCCACCATCAAAATCTCAATTTCTTTAATATGCAGCCCTGTGTTTACGCAGGTCACTCAGTGGCCTTTGCAGTCCTTGGGAGTATCTTGGAGTCATGTCTGCTCCAGTGAAAATGTCCTCCCAGTAATCTCAGTTTCCCTTGCAGAGGTAAAAGACAGGTAATATCTTGTGGGCAATCCGTCACTACAGTCACGCTGACAGTAGTGGTGCATGGTTGGTGCTCTGGGGAAGGACTGTGGTTCACAAGACTGACAAGAGAAATCAGAAATGAAGGCAAATCCTTTGCAATCTCTTTTCCCTTTCCTCTCCAATATTCTTCATATGAAGGTGTTGGAAAGGCTCCTACTGTAAAAGCAGTCATACAAAAACAGCAACAAAAAAAAAGTTGTTTGCTAGCAAAGTGGTAAATAAATGAGCAATCCCCATCCTTCTTCTGCAGTCTTTCGTGCTGTCTTATTAATGGGCCATGGAGGCAGAGGAGGAGGTAACTCATCAGTTGTTATTCATCGGTGGGGGCTGCAAATGAGTTGATTGTGCCAGTTCCATTTTATTTTTTGACACCAACAGATAAATTTGTCTTCATATGACATGGTTTCTCCAGGGATCAAGTAGAAAATACATCAGGGGCTGTACTGGTGGCTCACTGCCCTTTTAAGCTGCCTTGGGATTTTTGGAGGCCAAAATGCTGCTCTGGCTTTGAGCCCTTTTCTGGTACCAGCAGAAGACATTGAGTTGTGAGGATATCTGTTCCTGAGAACAGCTGGTTTGGACAATTTGGATGGTTGAAACGTGAACTGAGAAGATATCCTACTCCGTTGCAAGGGACTCTGCAATGACCTTTGGCTTTTTGTCATCTCATCAGCCTTGGTGTGATGATCAATCTGATGGTCATAAAGCTGCTGGGAGAAGATGGCAGCATTTTCTTCATTGCCTCCTTTCCTTCCACTGCAGGCTTTGGCACTCTCCTTGCCTGCTGTCTCTATGCTTTGGACCTTGCGCATATCCTGAACTAGCACAGGCAATTGGTTTCTCTAGTCAAAAGGAGAGCACGCCTTTCCCTGCCCTTACATACACACACGGGGTTTGTTTAGGCTAACCCATAGCAATTGGCATTTCATACTGATGTCTTTGAAGTGTTTCCTCTTCAAAGGAATAATAATGGAAAAAACCAACCAAACAGAAAAGCAAAAAAACCAAATGCTAAATTGGTCGAGTGTTTAGGAGCAGTTGCCAAAAGAAATCAATGCTGAGCCTGGGAAAGCTGTAAAATTCTTTCTTGGGTTTTTATTAGTAGGAGAGAAGTGACACACTCTGTGTTTGGTCACTCAGACACTGTTCAAGGTCCACATTAAAAAAAAAAAAGTTATTTCAGCTTGGGTGTTCTTGACAGTTTGCAGATGTGTAACAGTGCATTGATACTCAGCTGTGGGGTAGGCTGCAGGCCCCCTTAATTGCAAAGAATAAATTATTGGTCCCCCATCCTTGACTGAGGATTCTGAAAATGAGCAGTTGCTGTGGCCTGTGGCAGTTTTGCCTCACTTCCTTGCCAAATGTTACATCTCTTCATCAAGGATTTAGAAATGTCATCAGTATGAGAAAATAACATACCTTTTCTGTATGTGATGTTGCCCACCTGTCATAGCCTGATGGGGGAGGTACAATAGAAGGTTTGATTTTTCTTAAAAATACCTTCCCCCCCTCTTAAAAAAGTATTCTTTATGAGGTCAGCCTTGACAGATCTTTATTAGACTGTAATTATTATTCTTTTATGAATATGGCATTGCAGTTGTGTTTATTTCTTTTTAGAGTAAGTTCAGGGTGTGGGTTTATGTTCATGCCATTTAATGACTTATCTGAAACTGTTCTGTAATGCAGACTGTACAGAAAGCAGTAGGTTTGTGTTGCTCATTGAATCTCAAAAGGGTTTTTTTTTCTTCTTTTTCCCTTCATTTTCCCGCTGATTGCTATGACCGTGCTGCAACCATGAACTTCACAAACTGGATGAATGGCTGCCTCCTGGAATATGGATAATTTTGGTGAGTCTGAAAAATGAATTTCACTTATTTCTGTCTGCTTGGGAGAGAGAGGAAGAATGTCATGTATTGGAAGTTGGGTTTGATGAAAGCTAAGGCTGTTCTTGCAGTGCTGGTTTTGTCAAAGCAACAGGCAAAGCTTACTGAATTTCAACTTATTTTTGATTGAGTGGGTTTTTTTCTTATTCTGCTTAATCATTGGCAAAGGTGAAGGAATTAACATGCACTGGATTAATTTGGAATACTGTCATTTTATGAGATTGAGTGTTATTGCCTTTGTAATAATTTTTAAATTACTTTTCTGTAAGACACACTGTGAAGCAACGGCTTAGAACATTTTAATTTTTCTTTTCTGGCTTATTCAGTTGTTTTGCAAGTAGTTAAGACAGAAAATGATTAATTCATTGGATGACTTTTTAGAAAAGCACTGTGTCGTTCTTCTTACTGTTCCTAATACTGGTGTTGCCTGTGGTGTGAACTTTAAGACCTGAAGTGTTGATGGTGTGTTTGCATTAAATATTGTATCAGATTTTTCCATGAAAAGGTCTTCCATTCCAAGTAGTTTCTGGTGAGGTCTCTTTTTTCAGAATAAAATAAAGAAAGCACCAAGCTCTGTCAGGGTCATACGCTTTTCTCATGTGCAGATGGCTGACCTGCAGAATATCCATCTGGGGGTACCTGCTGTTGCTACCTGAGGATGAGGTTTTGGCATTTTGGTGTTTCAGTAAAGATGACTGGACAGCTGCAGGGAAAACATTTGGTTTGAGCATATCAGCCTGGAGATCTGCCCTAGAAGCAAGCATGGTTGGAGGTGGTAGTATTTACTGAGCTTTGTCTGTAG